ATACATTATTTGTTAGTTACATGTCAAATGTCATAAAAGTTTATCGACTTTTCAGAAACTAACTGCCCGCTAATGTAAAAGTGAAGCAGAAAGTTCAAATTATTCAGTGCTGGCACGACAAGCTGGCCATGAGTACTGTGGTCACTTATGAGTTGACTTGATGGTTATTCACGAAGTAGGTGAGAGCCGGTTTGGTTATAAAAGCACCACTTTCACCATGAAGGGATGACCAAAGAGTCATTTGATCAATTTCATGTATGACGATTTCCTTCCTGACCTCGCATGTGAATTTTCATAGCTGTGTGAGGAAGTATGCAGACCATACACCCCAAATACAGATTTTCGACTAAGTAATTATTTGGACCAAGTCTATATTTTGATTAGTACTGATTCTGTTGAAGTTAGAATTATCTATCATGTTTGAAATTAGTGAGTATCTCTTGGGTAAAATTTAAGGCATTTAATAAATGCTAATGTAAAACAACCATGTTGATACATCTTAACAATGTCTAACAGAGGTGGGGATGGTAGTAACACCTTTTTAAAAAGTGATACAACTGAGGCAGTGAAAGACAGTAAAGACTGTCACCAAATAATACTGTATCTACCATGTGACACTGATCAGATGCTGCAAGAAATTACAAAACCTCAGAGGACAAAAGTAAAATATTACAGCAGTGGTAAGCAAAAAGTGGCCCAAGCTGGCATTTTCCATTTCATTGTTCAAAACATTTACATAATCTTCCATCAGTCTACCATATATAAGGATGAGTATAGATCTCAACAAATATGATGTCATTCAGTAAAATCTAAAACTGGCCCAATGTGCAGAAAGACAGCAGGTTTTCTGAACAGAACATTGTACTAAAATTAAGTCTAAAAAACATGCAAAATGAATTACTCATATATAATATAATTTAGCCTATTTGACCAGAACACATTTGTGTTTAAAACAGTATTTTTAGAGATGTATATGTGCTGAGAAGTGTAATACATTTCTTCAGATGCATGTTTTTGTAGCGTGGTCTCAACATTTAATTCTTCACTCTTATTGTTATAATTTACCCCAGTAGGTTATAAAAATCAAACTCCTTGTATTTGACATAAGTTATTGAATTCTGTGATTGGAGAACTTGTAAACATCGCTAGACTATTTGGATACGTCGTGGCAAACGAGTGCTCTAACACGAAAATTCTGCGAGTTATCATTGCTAAGAGAAAAAGTGTTGCAATCATGCCCAGTCTCCCCTGGATCGGTGTGTCACACCAGATAAATAGATGTTTTTCCCATACCTGCAGAGTGGAAGCTGCTGAGTCGCTAGTGTCTGTCAGTCCTGTGCCTCTCGGTAGACTGGACACGATGTATCTGGAGCCCTTTGGCACAGGCTGTCTAACCACCAGCTTCCCTTTCCTGGTCTCCGCTAGAAACAGACTGTACCAGTAGGCATCGTTGGAGACCAGAGTGGAATCTGCGATGGTGGAGTTCCTCTCACTGATCACACTGTTCCTGCAGGGAGGAGCCGCTTTGCTGGGCTTGGGTTTCTGACACTTGAGCACGATGGTGACCAATATGGTGATGAGCAGGAGAAATGACACCGAGCCCAGACCGATGACCAAATACAGGTTTAGGTCTGAAAAGATGTCGTATTCCAGAGGCACCTCAGTCATGTCAGAGTAGGCCTTCACGGCAGTCTCCACTGTGGACAGCTTGATGGTGACTGTGGCAGACAGAGCAGGCTGCCCGTTGTCTTTGGCAACAACAACCAGTCGCTGGTGGCGCGGGTCTCTGTAACTGAACATCCTCATAGTCCGGATCTCTCCGTTGTACTGGTCCAGACTGAACAAGGTGGCGTCAGTCACCTGTAGGAACTGGTAGGTGATCCGAGAGTTGTGCACCGAGTCGGTGTCTAAGGCTATCACTTTGGCAACCAGAGAGCCTTTATCGGTGGATCTGGGGATCTTTTCCTCCACCACAGAGCCGTGCGCGCGCCACGGAGACACAATAACCGGAGCGTTGTCGTTCTGGTCCACAATAATGATGTGCACGGTCACGTTACTGCTCAGTGGAGGAGAGCCAGAGTCTCTGGCCTCGATGTGGAAAAGAAACTCCTTCTCGATCTCATAGTCAAAAGTTTTTAGTGCGTAAAGGTTCCCGTTCTCTGGATTGATGGAGAACAGCATGGACATGGAGGTGTTGGCTATCTCTTCTCTAGGATGAAATAAACTAGATACTGGTTTTCATGGAGGTCAGGGTCAAACGCAGAGAGTGAACTCAGCAAGGCCCCAGGTGCGTTATTCTCCGTTACACGTATAGTATAAAATGATTGAGGGAACTGTGGAACATTGTCATTCACATCCAGCAGCTCTAACGTCATAGTTTCATTGTCAGATAAAGGAGGAGAACCTCTGTCTGTAACAGTGAAAGTGATGTCATATTCTGGGACCTTCTCGCGGTCTAACGGCTCTGACACTACTAATTCATAATAGTTATCAGAGGACTCCCTCAGTCTGAAAGGCATGTTATCTGGAATATGCAGATCTACCACTCCGTTGTCACCTGAGTCTTTATCACTGACACTAACTACAGCTATCACTGTGTCAATGGGCTCACTCTCTTTGATTGGACTTTGAAATGATTTGATGGATATTTGTGGGTGATTGTCGTTCATATCTGTCACCTGTATTGTCAGCTTACACTGTCCAGATAAGGAGTTAGGCCCCTTATCGCTGGCAATAACCTCCATTTCATAAAGCTTAAAATCTTCATAATTTATCATCTCTTTCACTCTGATTTCACCATTTTCTGGATTCAAGTTGAACATCTGTTGCGTTCTCTCTGATGTATACAAACTATATGAATAAACAATCTCGGAATTAGAACCTTCATCTAAATCAGTGGCGTTTAGTTTGATTACTAGACTTCCAATCGGGGAGTTTTCCATCACATCTACGACGTATCTGTCTTTGTCAAATGAAGGGGCGTTGTCATTCACATCAAGCACGCGAATAACGATGCTGGCTGTACCTGTGCGCGTGGGGACCCCACCGTCCACTGCAGTGAGTATTAGGTTATGATAAGCCTGCTGCTCTCTATCTAAAGCTTTCTTCAGAATCAAATCTGCAAACTTTGTCCCGTCTCTCCCGGTCTGAATTTCAATAGTGAAGTGTTCACTTGAGCTCAAATGGTAATTTTTCACAGAATTCGGTCCCACATCTGGGTCTGCAGCATTATTCAAAGAGAATCTCTCTCCAACGGGGCTTGATTCAGAGATGTCCAAGTGCATCGTTCCTCGTCGAAAATGAGGAGCGTTGTCGTTAATATCCGTGATTTCCACCTCAATATTAAACATTCGTATTGGATTTTCAATTGTAGCGTCTAATCTAAGAAAGCATGATGTAGCTGTTTTCAATGCGCATAACAACTCTCTGTCTATCCTTTCCAAAATGAACAGCTCTCCCGTGTCTTTGTTGATGTCAAGATATTTTTTGTTGCCTACAACATCTATGCGCATTTGTCTTTTATTCAGAGTTTTCACGTCTAATCCCAAATCAGTTGCTAAATTAGCAACGACAGATCCTTCCTCCATTTCTTCAGGAACAGAATAATGAGTAACGGTGAATACCGTGTTCATGATGGCAGAAAGAAAGATAAAAACTGAAACGTACCCTCTCCGGGAATACTGACGGATATGATGAGCCATTGAGGAGAATCCGTATTTAAAACCTTGAAATGCGATGTGTGGTTGAGAAAGGAGAAACAGTCCCCTTTATTTAATGATAAAAGCCAGCGAGGGTCTTCATGGAAAACGTTTCTTTATGGTGGTATCAGCAGAGATTTGCGTGCAATATGTCTGCCTGCCCGGGCTCCAATGAACTATCGTGAGAACGTTGACTTCATTGGTGAGTCTGTTTTTGTGGAGTGCAGCGACGTGAATAGTCCTTTTTTAGCATTTACACCTCGTACAATCGCGGTTTCTATACAAATATAGATTGTGTGAGAACTTTTAAATTCGGTTATAAGAAAAAGTATAATTAAATATTTTACTTGTTTTTAATAGGATGTGGGAAACAACTAAAAGTTATATATTTTTCCTTGTATTGCTTTTATGACTATGGAAATATACTATTTGAAAAAATTTTTACTGCAGACATGCTACACATTCTATCAGTGCAAATATATGGAGTCATAGCCCTTTGAGTTTGACTTTTACGCGCTAATCTCTGTGCGTAAAACCAGTGTGGTAAAATTTGACCGCGTGTCTAATCTCTAGATTTATGTGTTTTCTAAAAGCCTTCAGTAAATATTTTAGTTGCTTAATTGATGTTGCCATATGCAACACTCACACAGTTGCTTTATGACCTATGTAATATCCAATTTTAACGGTACCTAAATACCCTGTGCAAGAAAAGATGTTTTATGGAAGGGACAAAGATTGCAAATGTCAAGGGATTTATTTAATGTTTATTTTTAAAAAATGGAATCGTGTTAACATTAAAATTATACCTATGTAAACTTTGATTACTAGTATGGATACGGTGTTAATTTTTCCGTACTCATTTATAAAACACTAATAAAATATGATTTTTTAGAGTCTGGATACCAATGGGGAATACATACATCTACATATAGGTCCTGAAAAGGATACAAAGTTGGAAATCTTCAACATTGCAAGGACCAAACAATAGCTGTTACAAATGGCTGTATTTGATGTTTTGGTGGAAGACAAATGAGTTATTTTATGGGAGTAAATGTAGCAATATGACAGTGTAAAAATGCGGTATCAAAAATAAAAGTCCTGTTTCGCATTAGTATTTAAGTAAAAAGTACAATGTTTGGCTCCGAAATGTAATTGAGTAGAAGTATAAAGTAGCGTGAAATGGAAATACTCAACAAAACTTGTACAAATACCTCAAAACTGTACTTGAGAACAATACTTGAGTAAATGTACTTAGATTCCACCTGACGACCATATTCAGAGAATGTTTGTGCATATCATATGTTAATTGAGGTTTACCTGCAGAGTGGAAGCAGCTGAGTCGCTAGTGTCTGTCAGTCCTGTGCCTCTCGGTAGACTGGACACGATGTATCTGGAGCCCTTTGGCACAGGCTGTCTAACCACCAGCTTCCCTTTCCTGGTCTCCGCTAGAAACAGACTGTACCAGTAGGCATCGTTGGAGACCAGAGTGGAATCTGCGATGGTGGAGTTCCTCTCACTGATCACACTGTTCCTGCAGGGAGGAGCCGCTTTGCTGGGCTTGGGTTTCTGACACTTGAGCACGATGGTGACCAATATGGTGATGAGCAGGAGAAATGACACCGAGCCCAGACCGATGACCAAATACAGGTTTAGGTCTGAAAAGATGTCGTATTCCAGAGGCACCTCAGTCATGTCAGAGTAGGCCTTCACGGCAGTCTCCACTGTGGACAGCTTGATGGTGACTGTGGCAGACAGAGCAGGCTGCCCGTTGTCTTTGGCAACAACAACCAGTCGCTGGTGGCGCGGGTCTCTGTAACTGAACATCCTCATAGTCCGGATCTCTCCATTGTACTGGTCCAGACTGAACAAGGTGGCGTCAGTCACCTGTAGGAACTGGTAGGTGATCCGAGAGTTGTGCACCGAGTCGGTGTCTAAGGCTATCACTTTGGCAACCAGAGAGCCTTTATCGGTGGATCTGGGGATCTTTTCCTCCACCACAGAGCCGTGCGCGCGCCACGGAGACACAATAACCGGAGCGTTGTCGTTCTGGTCCACAATAATGATGTGCACGGTCACGTTACTGCTCAGTGGAGGAGAGCCAGAGTCTCTGGCCTCGATGTGGAAAAGAAACTCCTTCTCGATCTCATAGTCAAAAGTTTTTAGTGCGTAAAGGTTCCCGTTCTCTGGATTGATGGAGAACAGCATGGACATGGAGGTGTTGGCTATCTCCTTCTCTAGGATGAAATAAACTAGATACTGGTTTTCATGGAGGTCAGGGTCAAACGCAGAGAGTGAACTCAGCAAGGCCCCAGGTGCGTTATTCTCCGTTACACGTATAGTATAAAATGATTGAGGGAACTGTGGAACATTGTCATTCACATCCAGCAGCTCTAACGTCATAGTTTCATTGTCAGATAAAGGAGGAGAACCTCTGTCTGTAACAGTGAAAGTGATGTCATATTCTGGGACCTTCTCGCGGTCTAACAGCTCTGACACTACTAATTCATAATAGTTATCAGAGGACTCCCTCAGTCTGAAAGGCATGTTATCTGGAATATGCAGATCTACCACTCCGTTGTCACCTGAGTCTTTATCACTGACACTAACTACAGCTATCACTGTGTCTAATTCAATGTTTTCATTAACTGGACTCTGAAATGATTTAATAGATATTTCTGGGTGATTATCATTCATGTCCTGGACGAGAATTTTGAGTTTACATTGTCCTGACAAACTATTGGCTCCTTTATCGGTTGCTATAACCTCCATATCATAAATCCTGAGATCTTCATAATTTAACACTCCTTTTACCGTAATCTCACCCGTGTTTGGGTTTAAATGAAAGGTTTCTTGCGTTTTCTCCGATGTATACAGACTGTATGAGTATGTTAAATCCGAATTTGATCCCTCGTCTAAATCTGTCGCATTAAAATGAAAAACAAGTGTCCCAATAGGGGAATTTTCCATTACATTGACGTGGTAGCTTTCTTCCTCAAATGTAGGGGCGTTGTCATTTGTGTCTATAACATGAACAATAATGCTGGCAGTACCAGAACGAGACGGCATACCGCCATCTACAGCTGTAAGTATTAAATAATGAACAGCTTGCTGCTCGCGGTCCAAAGTCTTTTTCATGATTAAATCAGCAAATTTTGATCCATCTCTTCCGGTTTGAATTTCTATTGTGAAATAATCACTTTCACTCATGTGGTATGTTTTCACAGAGTTTGAACCAACGTCTGGGTCAACTGCATTGCTCACAGAAAAACGTTCACCAGCCTGCGTAGCCTCTGAAATATCTAAATCTATCGTATCTCTTCTAAAATGAGGTGCGTTGTCATTTATGTCCATTATCTCTAATTCAATGTAAAATATTCTCTTGGGGTTTTCGATTATTGCCTCCATTTTCAGATAACAGGATGTCTTGGCTGGACAGAGAGATTCTCTGTCAATCCGTTCAACAATATGCAGCTCCCCTGTTTCTTTGTTCACGTCCAGATATTTTCTATTAGTAATGACGTCTATGCGCATGTTCCGTTCAACTAATGCTTTCACTTCCAGTCCCAAATCTACAGCTAAATTTGCGACGACAGAGCCTTCTTCTAGTTCCTCAGGAACAGAATAGTGTGTTACCCCGGACGCAGAATTTAAGGTGGCAATGAAAAAAAGAACTGTCGACACATACCTTTTCCAATATTCAGAACAGATAAAAGCTTCCATTGTTACCCCTGATCTGTAGTATTTGTCGGCGTAGTCCACGCCCTTTTTCTTAGGATTTAGGACTACTGTGAAACTTCAGTGAAATTTCCAAACAAAATGAAGGTATAGACCCTGAAAAATCCTCAATATCCAAATCCATTCAGCACCAGGAACTGTTCATTCGCCTTTCTCGTTTCCTTTAAACGCTGACTGTCATGGCGACCGTGATGTCACAAAAGTATATATGACCGGGGAACAGCGACGCTGCGTGCACGAATCAGATCCTCTCATCTGTGTTTGCTATTTGAGAATTATAGGCCTAAGTATTGTTGTGTGCCACGAGTCAGCCTCAACATAACATGTTATTTATTAGATGGGGAATGTTCTTTTTAATCGTCTTATTTGGTTGGTGTGGAGTATGGTAAGCCTACGTTTTATTTCTCTATTTCTCTTCTTAATCAAATGATGTTCTTCTGTCTACGAACATTTTTGCGGTTTGTTTGAAGACTTATTCTATTTAATATTTTATTGATATCCTGAGTAGTAACCATGTACAAAAGTGTGAAAAACAAATGGTAAAATTGAGGAGAACCAAATAATAGCTTTTAAAAGTTTGTGAAAAAAGCGTAGGTGGTCCAGTCTAAGAAAGGTTTTTATACAGTACGGTTTATTTTAATATGTAAATTAAGTGTATGGGCTTCGATATTATGATTAAAAGTAAGAAAGACTTTGTATAGTTTTTTATGTTATTTTAGCCTTAGTTTTCCTCTATTACATAAAATAGAAGAAATATACATATGTGTGTCTTCAATTGGCATGTATTTGTTCGAAGTGACAACGCTTAAAGCTGAGAAAATGTTTAGAAAACGTTAACAAATTCCATAATAGCCTACAATATTAATATTTAAAAAGTGTCTCTTAATGCAACGAAAATCGCATATGGCATCACAGACGATAAAAGTGTTGGACTATGAGTGGGCTTGAAGGCTATTATCGAGGTACATCTGTGTGTAAAACGTGTTAAATATTGATGTTTTCCCATACCTGCAGAGTGGAAGCAGCTGAGTCGCTAGTGTCTGTCAGTCCTGTGCCTCTCGGTAGACTGGACACGATGTATCTGGAGCCCTTTGGCACAGGCTGTCTAACCACCAGCTTCCCTTTCCTGGTCTCCGCTAGAAACAGACTGTACCAGTAGGCATCGTTGGAGACCAGAGTGGAATCTGCGATGGTGGAGTTCCTCTCACTGATCACACTGTTCCTGCAGGGAGGAGCCGCTTTGCTGGGCTTGGGTTTCTGACACTTGAGCACGATGGTGACCAATATGGTGATGAGCAGGAGAAATGACACCGAGCCCAGACCGATGACCAAATACAGGTTTAGGTCTGAAAAGATGTCGTATTCCAGAGGCACCTCAGTCATGTCAGAGTAGGCCTTCACGGCAGTCTCCACTGTGGACAGCTTGATGGTGACTGTGGCAGACAGAGCAGGCTGCCCGTTGTCTTTGGCAACAACAACCAGTCGCTGGTGGCGCGGGTCTCTGTAACTGAACATCCTCATAGTCCGGATCTCTCCGTTGTACTGGTCCAGACTGAACAAGGTGGCGTCAGTCACCTGTAGGAACTGGTAGGTGATCCGAGAGTTGTGCACCGAGTCGGTGTCTAAGGCTATCACTTTGGCAACCAGAGAGCCTTTATCGGTGGATCTGGGGATCTTTTCCTCCACCACAGAGCCGTGCGCGCGCCACGGAGACACAATAACCGGAGCGTTGTCGTTCTGGTCCACAATAATGATGTGCACGGTCACGTTACTGCTCAGTGGAGGAGAGCCAGAGTCTCTGGCCTCGATGTGGAAAAGAAACTCCTTCTCGATCTCATAGTCAAAAGTTTTTAGTGCGTAAAGGTTCCCGTTCTCTGGATTGATGGAGAACAGCATGGACATGGAGGTGTTGGCTATCTCCTTCTCTAGGATGAAATAAACTAATATTGGTTTTCATGGAGGTCAGGGTCAAACGCAGAGAGTGAACTCAGCAAGGCCCCAGGTGCGTTATTCTCCGTTACACGTATAGTATAAAATGATTGAGGGAACTGTGGAACATTGTCATTCACATCCAGCAGCTCTAACGTCATAGTTTCATTGTCAGATAAAGGAGGAGAACCTCTGTCTGTAACAGTGAAAGTGATGTCATATTCTGGGACCTTCTCGCGGTCTAACGGCTCTGACACTACTAATTCATAATAGTTATCAGAGGACTCCCTCAGTCTGAAAGGCATGTTATCTGGAATATGCAGATCTACCACTCCGTTGTCACCTGAGTCTTTATCACTGACACTAACTACAGCTATCACTGTGTCTAATTCTATGTTTTCATTGACTGGACTCTGAAATGATTTAATAGATATTTCTGGGTGATTATCATTCATGTCTTCAACCAGAATCTTTATGGTACATTGTCCTGACAAACTATTGGCTCCTTTGTCAGTTGCTATAACTTCCATATCATAAATCCTGAAATCCTCGTAATTTAACATTCCTTTAACATTAATTTCACCAGTGGAAGGATTCAGGTTGAATGTTTCTTGTGTTTTCTCTGACGTATATAAACTATATGAGTACGTGATATCAGAATTTGATCCCTCGTCTAAGTCTGTTGCATTAAGATGAATAACAAGGCTCCCTATGGGAGAATTTTCCATTATTTTTAGATTGTAACTCCTTGGTCAAAAGCAGGAGCGTTGTCATTTGTGTCTAAAACACGAACTATAACACTTGCAGTGCCAGAACGTGCAGGTGTGCCTCCATCTACAGCTGTGAGTATTAAATTATGAACAGCTTGCTGCTCTCGATCTAATTTCTTTGTTAAGATTAATTCGGCAAACTTCGACCCATCTCTCCCGGTCTGAACTTCAATATTAAAATGTTCACTTTCACTCAGATGGTATGTTTTCACTGAATTGCTTCCAACATCAGGATCAACTGCATTGCTGAGAGAGAATCTCTCCCCTTTTGGCGTCGCTTCAGATATATCTAAATGTATGACGTCTCTTCGAAACTGTGGGGCGTTGTCGTTCATATCCAGAATTTCTAGTTCTATGTTAAAAATTCTCAGAGGATTTTCTAGTATTACTTCCAGTCTAAGATAGCAAGACGCTGACGACTTGGTATTGCATATGTATTCCCTGTCTATCTTCTCAACAATGTACAGTTCACCCGTCTCTTTGTTCACATCCAGATATTTCTTATTTGCAATGATGTCGAGACGCATCTTCCTCTGATTCAGTGTTTTAACGTCCAAACTGAGATCTGTAGCAAGGTTTGCCACAACTGATCCTTCTTTCATTTCCTCTGGTATTGAATAATGAGTCACTGAAGTCGAGATGTGATGAACTAAGGAAAAAAGAACAACGAGCAGCACGTACCTTTTGCAAAACTGCATTGTTACAGAGGACCCCATTGTTGTGTGTTGGGCTACCGCACTTCAGTCGATATAATGTGCATTTGCAGCTATTTTGAATTTCGGTGTAATGTCCATGATCCTTAATATATTAACGCAATTAAATTCCGAGGATATTTCCGCGTTAAAACAACACGAGAGCGTTTTCGGGTGCAGTTTCAGCCCCACGGAGCTGTCCGGTTGTTTCACGGTCTGGCCTAATGACTCGATTCACTGTCATGGCGTTCACTGGCTGGCATTTTACTAACAAAACAGCGCCACCCTTTAGGTTTTTCAAGACACTTTAAATTCATTTAATGGGTTGCACTTTGAAATTAGTTTATCAGTACCAATATTACTTTAAATGTGTTATTGCAGACAACAATAATCACATTTATTTATACTATGTATGAGCTGATCTTTGGAAGACGAATCACCGCAGATAAAGTAAAAATGAAATGTCACTCATTTTTCATAAATGATGACTATAAAACGAAATGTGTACGTTGGACTCTTACCTGCAGAGTGGAAGCAGCTGAGTCGCTAGTGTCTGTCAGTCCTGTGCCTCTCGGTAGACTGGACACGATGTATCTGGAGCCCTTTGGCACAGGCTGTCTAACCACCAGCTTCCCTTTCCTGGTCTCCGCTAGAAACAGACTGTACCAGTAGGCATCGTTGGAGACCAGAGTGGAATCTGCGATGGTGGAGTTCCTCTCACTGATCACACTGTTCCTGCAGGGAGGAGCCGCTTTGCTGGGCTTGGGTTTCTGACACTTGAGCACGATGGTGACCAATATGGTGATGAGCAGGAGAAATGACACCGAGCCCAGACCGATGACCAAATACAGGTTTAGGTCTGAAAAGATGTCGTATTCCAGAGGCACCTCAGTCATGTCAGAGTAGGCCTTCACGGCAGTCTCCACTGTGGACAGCTTGATGGTGACTGTGGCAGACAGAGCAGGCTGCCCGTTGTCTTTGGCAACAACAACCAGTCGCTGGTGGCGCGGGTCTCTGTAACTGAACATCCTCATAGTCCGGATCTCTCCGTTGTACTGGTCCAGACTGAACAAGGTGGCGTCAGTCACCTGTAGGAACTGGTAGGTGATCCGAGAGTTGTGCACCGAGTCGGTGTCTAAGGCTATCACTTTGGCAACCAGAGAGCCTTTATCGGTGGATCTGGGGATCTTTTCCTCCACCACAGAGCCGTGCGCGCGCCACGGAGACACAATAACCGGAGCGTTGTCGTTCTGGTCCACAATAATGATGTGCACGGTCACGTTACTGCTCAGTGGAGGAGAGCCAGAGTCTCTGGCCTCGATGTGGAAAAGAAACTCCTTCTCGATCTCATAGTCAAAAGTTTTTAGTGCGTAAAGGTTCCCGTTCTCTGGATTGATGGAGAACAGCATGGACATGGAGGTGTTGGCTATCTCCTTCTCTAGGATGAAATAAACTAGATACTGGTTTTCATGGAGGTCAGGGTCAAACGCAGAGAGTGAACTCAGCAAGGCCCCAGGTGCGTTATTCTCCGTTACACGTATAGTATAAAATGATTGAGGGAACTGTGGAACATTGTCATTCACATCCAGCAGCTCTAACGTCATAGTTTCATTGTCAGATAAAGGAGGAGAACCTCTGTCTGTAACAGTGAAAGTGATGTCATATTCTGGGACCTTCTCGCGGTCTAACGGCTCTGACACTACTAATTCATAATAGTTATCAGAGGACTCCCTCAGTCTGAAAGGCATGTTATCTGGAATATGCAGATCTACCACTCCGTTGTC